GGAAGGTCGGTGTAGAGGGGAGCGCTGCGCTGTCGGAGGGAGGATCGGTGTGGAGGGGAGCGCCGTGCTGACGGAGGGAGGGTTGACGCGGAGGGGAGTGCTGCGCTGTTTGAGGGTTGGCGCAGAGGGAGTGCCGCTTTGTCAGAGGGGAGGGTCAGTGTGGAAGGGAGCACCGTGCTGTCGGAGGGAAGGTCAGTGCTGAAGTTGGTTTAGAAGGGTAGCTTTTTCCGGTAACATGGGACCAATGTTGATCACTCACGAAAACACAACTCATTGTGACCACATTGCTGGTTGTTGGAGCTTGCTGTGCACAAAATAGCTGCTGTGCTTTCCAGATTCGATAGCTCAGCTGCTGTGTTGCAGCACCCACTGAATCTGGCCCCTTGCCGGGGAGTTGGGGGAACACACAGCAACTGAGAGGTATACACCTCTCTGCTGTCACAGCCCCCTCCTTTCATGTCTCTCTCTGCTTTTCTCTCGTTTATCCTGCTTTCTGAACCCTAAAGCTCTTGAATCTCCTGCCAAATCACTTCTAGGACTGCATAGATCTTCCTTTCCCCCAGTTACCAGAGCATCAGTTGAGCCTTGCTCAAAGAATTCCGCAGTTTTAAAATGACCTCCTCCCACTTGTGGTCCATGGGCTTGATCATAACTTTTTTGTATTTAGTTGTTATTATTGTTGTCTAGCTACTACAGATGAATTCTATTTAAGTATTTATTCTTCCGTCCCTCAAAATGGCATCAGATTGTAGCGACAGCACACCTTTCACTGTGTGTCCCTACGTACATGTGACAATTAAAGAAAAACTGATTTTCAGACGACAACTCAATTCCCAACACACTCGGGTTTTCCTCTTAAACTCGTTCAGTTCTGACTGCCGTTCTTCCACTCCCGGACTTGAAGGCAAAGAAAGTGCATTCACATTGCGGTCGAGCACTTCAAGATGATGGTGGGGAACTGCCTTCTTGAATTCCTGTCGTCCTTGAGCAGTCGGGACCCCCACACAGTGCCATTAGGGAGGGAGTTCCACGGTTTTCATACAAGGAATGTATGATGAGTGACTCAGAGGGGAATTTGCAGTGGATAGTGTTCCCATGTTCCCATGTTCCTGCTGCCCTTGTCCTTCTAGGTGGTAGAGGTCATTGGAAATGCAGTCGAAGGACCCTGTGTGAGTTGCTACAGTGCATCTTGTAGATGGTACACACTGTGACTGAGTTTTGAGGTACACACTGCTGCTACTGAGCGTTGTTGATAGAGGGAGTGGATGCTGTGGATGTGGTGTCAATCAAGTGGGCTGCTTTGTCCCGCATGGTATCGAGCTACTTGAGTGTTTTTGGAACTGCACTCATCCAGAGCAAGTGGGGGGTATTCCATCACCACCCCTGACTTGTAGATGGTGGACAGGTTCTGGAGAGTCAGGAAATGATTTGCTGCAGGATTCCCAGCTGCTCAGGTCTTGCTCTTGTTCCCACTCTGTGCATGTGGCTGGTCCAGTTTTGTTTCTGATCAATGATAACCCCCCAGGATGTTGATAATGGGGGAGTCAGTGATGGTAATGCCATTGAATGTCAAGGGGTAGTGGTTAGATTCTGTTTTATTGGCGATAGTGTCAGGCAATGGCCAACGTGGCACTGATATCACTGGCTGCACATCAGCCCAAGCCTGGGTATTGGCGAGGTCTAGATGCATATGGACACAGGCTGGTTCAATACTTGAGTCAGGAATGATGCCAAATATTGTGTGGACCATCTGTGAACATCCCCATGTTTGACCTGAGGATGGAGGGAATGCCTCTCGGGCTTCCAGTGCCCAATAGGTTTCTGCTTTCATACATCCAAAGGAGTTCAGCAACTTGTCCTCCTGAGCGAGTGTGTCCTTTTACCTTGTGAGCACAGGAACGTCAGTGTTTCAGCATTTAATCTAGGCATGGCCTGCAAACCCGCTCTGCAAACACACACCACTTTGAAGAGGGGTCACTGGACTCGAAACATTAACCCTGTTTCTCTCTCCACCAATGCTGCCAGACCATGCCAAGTATCTCCAGCATTCTCTGGGGTTGTTCTGCAAACAGCTGTGTGCTGCTGCTATCGTTTGGAATGTGAGACCAGCAGATGGCTCCACAGTGACTTGACTCTTCAGAGTTTTTTTTTGAAAAGTAAGTCCTTGTTACCAGTGAATAAATTTTTTAACATCATTCCCCGTTGCACACAATCACAGCCCCGTTAGCACACACGCACTCTACAGGCAGTGCTTGTTGAGGGATCAGGAGCTCACCCAGTCTCCATGTGGACACTGCAGAGGATTTACAGAACGCAAGCAGCTGTTCAGCCTGTCTGCCCCGTGCAGGTCTTTCTGCTCCCCAAGAGACCCCTCCCACCCTCTTTTCATCTCCCTTCACCAATTATCCATCCCTCTTCCCCACCCCCTCCACACCATCTCTTCAGCCACTCCCCAAGGGAGGGCACTTCATATTCACCCCACTCTCTGGTTAAAGAGAGGTCTCCCAGTTGGATTCCTTATGTTAATGTGCAGCTTCCGTCCCAGTCTAGGAGCTCCTGGGTTGATTCCTACTCCCGGACTTGACAACCAAGCAAGGTGAGGTGTCAACTTGTAACTTCCTCCCACATCATGACAGTGTCAGGCTGGAAGTACAGGAGAGAGATTCCTGCATAACCAAATATTGGAAAACATTCACTTACTGTGTAGGACTTGCACAGTCAATGGTAGGGCCTTGGGGAGTGTTAAAGAACAAGGAGATCTAGGGATACAGGTTCACAGCTCCTTGAAAGTAGCATCGCTGTTAGACAGGGCGGTGAAGAAGGCATTTGGCTTCTTGCTTTCTTCGGTCAGAATATTTAG